CTGTTTCAACCTTCACAAGTTGCTTGTCACCCCACCCCCGTTATTTTGCCCAGCCAGTTGTGCCCATTGCGGCACAACTTAAATTTGAGACTAAGAATAATAATAATAATAATAATAATAATAATAATAACAATTATTATTATTACAACCAAGTAAATAGAGAGAAATATGAATATACAGAGAATAAGAAATTGAGAAATAAATCTGTTTTCTATCTTTTGGGTTTTAGATGATAAGAAATCCAAGTGGACTATCTATTAAGATAACCAAAGATACTGGGCTGGACATGACCTAAGAGTCCTTTGTTAATGTTTCTACTCTGTACTCTCCCCTGTAATGGCCTCCTGCTTCCATGTTTGCCCATCTTCCCACTGGCTCTTTTCAAGCTACTAGACAGAGCAAATCTTTTAAATGTAATCAGATCATATCACTATTTTGCTTAAAACATTCTTAAGGCTCCCCATTCACTAAGGGTAAAATCTCAAATCCTTATAATGGTTTCAAATTTCTTACTGCACTACCACCCCCATTCCCCTTGTTCCCTCCTAAAAGCCTCCTACTCTTCCCCCTTATTCATTCATTCCACCCACAATGACCCCTTGCCACTTCTTGAATTTGTCAGGCTTGCTCCCACCCTAGGGCATTTGTCATTACCAGCCCTCTGTGCCTTGAAAATTTTTAGCAGATTAACTCTTTTGCCTCTTTCAAGAATGTTCAAATCCCATATTCCTGATGAGACCCCCCCCCCCTGACCATACTACTAAAAACAGTGATCCTCACCCTCATCTAGTACTCCTGATTCCACTTGCCAATTCTTTACCAGAGGCCATTTCACCTTCTAGGCTGTGATGTAATTTACTTATGTGTATTGTTTCTGTCTCCTCTACTAATACAATGCAAGCAAAGGCTGAGATTTTGCTCATGAAAGTACCCCATGCATAAAAGAATGCCCCCAAAGCAAGTAGAAATATCAATTTTTTGAATTACAAACTGCTACAAGGGCAGCAAAGACCAAAAAAAAAAACACTGAGAGCAAAAGAAGTCACTGCCTTTCTATATTAGTTTTTACCCTGCCCAGTTCTTCCAATATTTCCTAACTCAGGAAGGTCTCACCATCTATCCAAGATGCTCATGCCAAAAGAGACTGGAAACCATTCTAAATCTCATTCTTCAAAGTCTCCCAAAGCCATTTCATCACCAAAAGCTGTTGAAATTGCCTGTTATCTCTAGAACAAGCAATTTTCTACTCCCATTGCACCAGTTCAAAATTTCTTCATCTTCAAACAAGAGTATAACATCCATGAAAGAGCTTGCACTATTTAATTTTTTTAGATAGATATGATAGAATATAAAAGGCAAAAAAAAAAAGCAAAACAAAGAATAGGATGCTTGAAAACTAGAAAAATAAATTTGATCTTTGCTTTCTTTACTCCTATTTATACACGCTTACTCACACACATCAAGGTCCACTCCAAATATCTCTACTTTTGAAGACTTTCTCAGTTCTCTCAATTACTTGTTTTCCTCTCTGTACATAACTCCATTTGAGCACTTAACATAGCCATTTTTCCCCCCACATATTGGTTACCCCACTGGACAGAAGTCTGATCCTATTCTATCACAGAGCCTGGTACAAAAATGTGTTGAACAGACGAATGAACACTTTTTGTCTAGAATTGACAGTTTTTTTCTTTCTTATTTTTTTAAGGAAGCTTTAGTTCTTTTTGCTCTCACTGCCATCACCACTGCCCACCTGCTTCTGTGGTTCCTTTGTTCAAAATTGACAGTTACAAAGAAGAAAATCTAAGTTTCAATAAAAATAGGGATGCTAAAGACAGAAAAAATAAAAATTATGTACATAGTTACCAATATATAGTAGCCATAATGGGCTGGGATTGTGGTTCAGCAGTAGAGAGCTTGCCTAGCACATGTGAGACCCTGGGTTGGATCCTCAGCACCACATAAAATAAATAAATAAAATAAAGGTATTCTGTCCAACTGAAAATAAAAAATAAATATTAAAAAAATAGTAGACATAAATATCAAGCTGAATACCAAAGGTGGGGAGAAGAAATAAAGCAGAAACACACAAGGCATTTCTACAGAGACATAGGCAATAAAATAGAGATCCCCATGTAATATTTAATAGAGAAATAGATCTTCTGTATTTCTCAGAGAAATGCAGAGATGAAATACCTAACTCAAAAGAGCCCATAAAAATAAAACATTCTCTCAGACAGCGATACTCAACTAGAAACAAATTAATTTTGATTCATAAAATGTTAATGATAAGCAGATTGCTTCAATTAAGCATTATAACACATAGCACCAGTCCCATACTTCCACCTCCCCAAGATACTCAAATATGTAGCATTAAACCATTAGAAAAATGGGTCTTAAGGAAGCCTTTTAAAAACAAGTAAAATTACATTAACAGAAGGAATAAAATTATTAAAATTAAAGCTCTAAACATATTGAACTCAAATGAGGTTTTAAGTTTTCTTACAAAATTCTACATTTTGTAGGCCTGGTTACTATTAAAAAAAAAAAATTTAAAAGCCTAAAAAAGCAATGTTTTATAATAAGCAGGTACAATTCTAGGCTTGATGAAAAATGCAAAAGTATTTAAAAATGCTGCTTACTTCATTTATATTTCGATGTAAAATAAACAGCTTACTCTAAAATGGCTTAGTCACTTATACTTTGGCAGGTTCACGACCAATCAAAGCAATGTTAAAGTCGAAGCTCAATAGTTTTCTGGGTCACAGACCCTTCTGAGGCTCCACTGAAAGCTACAGTCCTGTACTATAGAAAAGAATGTATACATACAACATACATCTTGTATTTTAAATGTGCTTGCAGCTGCAGAGCCCCTGCAGTCTATTTATGACTTTCTAGAGATTGTAGGAACTGCTGCTGTAATGACTAGATAGCAAACATGTCAGACTCCACAGAGAAGGAGATAAACTGTTAACAACTCTGGAGCTTTTTCTGTGTCATCCAGGCAACTGAAAAACTTGAATATAAATATCCCTACTCACTGAATTTTATAAAATGATAGATACAAATATGGAGTCAAAATGTCTACATATGCTTTAAAAAGATAACTTGAAAGTTTTTAAATAAAAGGTAATATCAATATTAGTAATAGAAATAGCTAATATTCATTGAGCATTCATTATGTACTAAGCATTGTTCTAAGTATTTTAAATATGCTTATGTTTAAAATAAATATAAATAGTTACTATCCTCATTTCACAAATGAGGAAATAAAAGCACATAAAGGTACACAGTCAAGAAACAATCACATGAAAATAGAAATAATTAGTGAATTATTGTAGATCAGAAAAAATTCTGATCTACAAAATATTCTACAAAAAATTCTTCAGTTACAAAGCAAGAACATACTGTCCAAACTCCAGAATAAGAATGGCAATCTTGATCATTTTCCATAGTCTGCCAAAATAATTCTTATAAAACCATATTCACTTAGGAATACACTGTAACCAGAAATGAGAACACAAAATGTTCAAAAGGACTACAACTCTAAAGGATTTAAAAGATGAAAACTGAAGATTAATTCTGAGGATAATACATATTAGCTTCCTAAATCATGATCTTTTGCATAAGCACCAACAATATATCATGCTTTGGAAAAATCAGTCACTTAATAAGACAAAAAAAAAATAACCTTTTTTTACACCTTTTTCTTTTTCTACAAAAGAACTTCAAGTTTGCCTACCTCAAACTTTTATCAAGACTCAGCCTCCTTATTACCATTTTGGTGCCATGCCTCTACTATACCAGGGACAATCACAAAAGAAGAGAACCTCACAAGTTCAACAAGTCTTATTAAACCCCATCAATCAAAAGACAAATTTTAAGCTCCCCTGGAGGAACTATACTATGCCCTGAACAATACAGTATACAAAAAGTAGTTCTAAAATGGCTCAATCTTCTCCAGGTAAAATATGTGTGTTGAAGATATTTTAACATTTTTTGGTGAAACCAATTCTTTTTCTTTGACCACATGATCTTTTTGTTAGATTTGGTATCAAAGAAAAATAAAATAGAAAAACACTAATTACTTAGATCAGTTTATGCAGCTACTGGTAAAATTCAAGGTAACACAAAAACTTTTGAGGATATTCCTTCTGTAAAACAAGGATGTTCTTAGCATACTATAATTCTTACAGCTTTCTTTGTGATACCTGAGATAAAAATCACAGATTTTTTTTTCCTTTTACATAACCAATAAGTTTGAATTAGGGGTAGGAGAAAATTAGTTCCATTAAATTGAGATGGGATGCTGCTTCAGTAGTAATGTTATGAATTCACTGAAGAATTAAAAAAAAAAAAAAGAAAGAAACAACGAAAATAGTATCAAGCTAAACACACACAACAAAAATTTCCCTCTATTTAATTCACAACTAAAACAATTGCTCCCAACTGATGCAACTCTTTAAAATACCTCACCACTGTCACACACAATTTAAAAACTAAACATAGAACTTCTTGGAAGACATCAACAATTAAAAGTTAATCTTTTATGTAATAAAAAGACCTTCTTAGTATACAAAGCATAAAAGTACAAAAATTCAGACCAAAATATTCCCTAATATTAACCAAGATTTTTAAAGTATAACTTATACTTGCTGAATGTAAATTTAGCAAAGGTAACCCTATCTTGGCAAACTCAAAAAGTTGTTTCTTTAACATCTTAGAAGGTAGTTTGATGCACCACATTCCTCCATCTACTTTGTGTAGTGTGTTCATATCTCAAATGGAAATTAAACCCTTTTCAAGTAATGGCCAAAATTTCATTAATCACAAGAAAATATAGAACAAAGAGCCGCATGACATGAGAAACAGAGCTGACAGAAAGATAGGTGGAATAGCATTGGTAATGACCTTAAAAAAGCAATCAGGAGTATATGTTGAAACAGAAAATCTATATAACTTGTACAGGAATCACATTAGATAATTCCATTCCCACTCACCTGATGAACTCTCAGTAAATACTGTTAAGGTCTGTCCTCCAACACTTTGCAAGACAAATGGATGTTCTCTAGGAGCACTGACTGAAGCTGGTTTTCCACCAATATCATGAATATTTGCAAGATCCTCATTCAAAGTAAATGACACCTAATAGACACGTTAACCAGAACTTATTACAATAGACATTTATATTCAAAGTACTTTACAAAAATTCTGATTATAAATCAAATACTTTTTTTAAAATGTCTTTTTCTAGTCATTTTATTAAACATTTTTTTAAACTCATCAAAAAAATCTCTAATACTTAGTCATAAAAGAGAATCTATTCCCAGGTGTCAGAATGATGGGGCTCATCTATCATTGCAAAGAAAGACAACTTTTAAATATTCTATGGTCTGTAACTGAAGAACCTTTTTCAAAATAGGAATAAAATTACTTTTTCCTAAGATCTCTGAGGTCCGATTATATCTTAATGCCTTTATATCCTTAAGAACTAGCAAAGGACCTGACACAAAAAAGAAAACAATATTTGCTGAATGATTATTTCAAGAATACTAAGAAATCAAAGGTACTTGAAAGGGGAAAAATATGAGCTGTTTACTCTGAAAAGCTTAAACATTCTCATCAACAGTGGTTATATTCTTTTTCAATCTTAATGACCACTGCATGAGTACACAGTACTGCTTTATTTCTGAATATTTTAACAAAACAACTAAATATTTACAAGGGTAACTCAATAACAGGGTTTAGAATTAAAAGAGAGTAGGTGTACTTTCCAAATTATTTTATTATATGTGAGATCCTCTCAAAAGAGCATCAAATTTTGCATTAAAGAGATTTATAAACAATATTGGTCTCCCAATAGCATAAGGGAATCATGAAATATATATTAAATATCTTCTACTGTACCATAGGTACTGTACATGAACTAAACCCAAGGGGTCAAAAATCTAAAGCCCTCAAAAATCTGAGTCAAATGCCTTTGCTATATTGAAGTAATGCTAAAACATTACTGAGTCGTATTCAGTTTAATAGTACTGAGAAAGGGATATTTAAGTCAAACAAGAAAAATGTTGACAACAAACAACTGGAGGAGTCCATTCATTCACACAAGGGTAGCATTTCTAACTTTATATGTTCCTGGTCACCAGCATTCATTTGATTTGATGTGGAGGTTTTTCACAAAGCTAACAGCACCCTCTCTTTACTAATGAAGAGTAAAATACTTCCATGCTTTAAATTTTTTTTCATATAATTAATCTTACCTCAGTCCTTCCTTGATTCCTAAAAGAAAAGAAAAAAATATTTTAAATTATTTAGATTTCATATTGTTTTCAAATATGAGTTAAGAGCTAAAAGAAATAATGCTACTTAATACTTATGTAAAATATTACATTTATAAAGACTAATGTTTACCCTTGGCTTCCCCCAACTATTTATAATCCTATAGGAAAAAACAAAGTTACATTGATCCTACATGATTATTTTAGATATTATGAACTTATATCACATAACACTATTATTACCTGTCCTAATTACATTTTGTCCTAATAAAGATCCTATGATTCTTATCTTTATTTCTGAACATTTTCAGTTTCAGCAGCATGTGAATGTATATTTAATACCTGATCTAAATAGTATTTCATCAAATTTTACTATTTACTTCGTCTATGTGAAAAGGTTTCACTTAATTAAAGTCTTAATGATCAAAAGTTATTAAATTTAACCATATATTAAAATCATAAGAAATTTTCTCCATTGTAAAAAAAAAATGGCTATTATAAACACTTTTTTACTACAAACAAACCAAAAAAATGTTTTGAAATAGCCATAATTTCACTGCTAACATCTTAATACAGGTAAAAATCCTTCTACACTATTTCACACATATTTGAATTACCCATTTAAAATTTTTTACAAATATGGAATTAATGTGCATCCTATATAAATAACATAACTTTTTTAAAAATATGTATTTATATGTACTTACTTACTACATGCAAAGTACTGAGGGGAAGGTCTCTGCCCCTGACAGCAAAATACATAAATTTTAATGTTCCCTTAAGAGAGCCATGCTGTATGTGCTAGGATCAGATGGGAGAATACAATTTCTTCCATTTTAAGACTTAAGGGATGGCTCAACAAAGAGGCAGATCTGAGCTGATCCTTGAAACACTAAGACTGCAATAAATGGAGATGGGAAAATACTGTTTCAGAAGTGAATAGCTCAGCCAAGTCACAGAAAGATCTCATCACAAATAAGTAATCAGATTTGGCTGGTAAAGAGGCAATATAAAGAATGGTGGGTCTGGGGGAATAACTCAGTGGTGTAGCACATTGTTTCCCCCATGTACGAGAGCCTGGGTTCAATCTCCAACACACACATACACAAAAAGAAAAAATGAGAGGCATAGTGAGAGATGAACGGAAGTTAAATCATGGAATATCTTAAATATCATAGTCCAAAGCATGAACTTAATTCTTTGGGCAATGAAGATCCACAGACACTGTTCAAACAAATGAATAAAGGTCAAAAATACTCCAGAAAACTTGCACCAGAAAACGTGTAGGATAGACTAAAGGTGACTAGAGATATGAAGACCAGTTTCTCCACTCAACTTAATTCCAATCTGCCTTTATTCAGTCGCTTAATCATTCATTCTGTCATTACAAGTCTACTATACAATCCTCTAGGCATTGTTGTAGGAGCCTGGTATAGTATGACTATAGGACCTTGTCCTCAGTAAGTTCCAGTATAATAAAAATAGTCAGGTCCAATCCATAAACAACTACAAATAAGGCATTCATATCTTGTCAGAATGATAAAGCATTATGGCAGAAGTAAAACACACTGTCAAGGAAATGCAGACTAGAAAGCCAAGAAAAGATGAATCTGAGTGCAGGGTGAGATCAACACCATGGGAGCATTCCAGGCTACAGGAACAGCCCACAAGGGCAAGTAAACATCCGAAATGACAAAGTAACACATTCTTTCTGGCACCAGAATGGAAGGCTGGGTTCAAGCAGTCAAGTCTTTTAGACCAGACTAAGCAGTCCAGTTTCTTATACAGATTTATTTAGTATAGGTTTCTCAGTCTTTCACTGCATATTAAAAGGCAGTGTTCATCTTCTCTTAGTTGAGAAAGTATCTAGAATAGAGATGAGAAGATACTAAGAGTTCACATAAAAATGTGAATTCCAGCTTCTCTTACAAGACTGCAAGATTTGACAACCGGCCCCCAATTCCACTTGACAACAATCCTCTAGACATGTGTTTGAGAAAGGCACTAAATCCACCAGTCTCTTCCCTGTCACTCCTGAACTTGGCTTCTAGAGGCATTTAATTTAGTTGCCTTTAAAACAGAAATGCTGTGTACAAAGCAAAGGCAAAGTTGCAAAATGTGCTCTCAAAATGTTTACTGAATATGGAGGCAAATACAAAAATCTACATTAAAAGGAATGAAGGCTTGAATCAGGTAGCTATAAAATGCAAGAAACTTCATGATGGGTCATTAAACTTTTAGAACAGCTTACAAAACTGACAGAAGAGAAAATGACTGGAAGTGGGCAGCAAAGGAAAAAAGATGAATTAAAGATCATGTTGACATTTCCAATCTGGATAACTAGAAAATCATCCAGATGCAATTAGGGAACACAGGAGGGGAGAATAACTTCATTTTCACATATGTAATTATAGCCTAGCTGGAATGATAAAGACATTGATGAGCTCTGGATGAGTTAAATTTCTAGGGGAAAGTTAATCCTTTAAGACTTAAAACTTATTTGAAAAGGAAGATACATATCCCCTTGCTCACATGCATACATGTACAAAATTACACACAATCTTTTGTTGTTCTACATTACAAATATAATACACCCTGTGCACCATGGCCTGTGGTCTAACTGACAAACATCAACTATTATAACATTTCCCCTTTTGCTATTCTTAGTTCATCTGTCAACACTCAACAGCTACTTCTTTGGATTCCAGTCTCATACCTCTTTCTTTTTTAAAAATTATAAATAGTCATGTCTTTCTTTTTTCTTACACTTTTAAGCACTTCTTGGATCTAACACCAATGGAGTCATGAGTTTTTTTTACTATCACTGATAATAAAGCATCATCCCTTCTCAGTTAAGAAAACCAACCAAAGTTGAGAATGTAGCTCAGTGGTACAGAACTTGCCTACTAGGTGTGAGGCCCTGGGGTTTCATCCTCAGTACCACCAAAAATAAATAAATAGATAAATAAATAAGAAATAAAGAAAGAAAGAAAAAGAAAACCAACCATACTTCAAGTTTTCAATTTGCTTAAGGATTTTTGTTGTTTGTTTTGTTTTTAATCCTTATTAATACCTCTGCTTCCAATTTAGGTAAAAAACCATTAGGTGAAATCAAGCAAGTATCTGCAGAGAAGGTTGGGCAATAGTCACAGCGTAAGCTGGGTAAAGAGGATGTCCCTGGATTGAGGAAACAGCCTGAGGCAAGGTACCAAAGCCAAGATGGATAAGGAGTGGCTCTTCTGAGCCTAGTAAGTAGGAGATGGAATGGAAGCCTGAGTGAGTGAAGCGGTCAGCAAAGATGGGAGCCAAATCAGGGAGCTACAGCCCAAGCAGAGTGAGAAGGGTATTCAAGGGCATCCCACATGCGGTGGGACAGGCAGGGACTACACAAATAAGAACAGAAGCCTAAACAAACAAGTAAATATATTAAAGATAACTAGAACCAGGGTTTTCACTTTTAGAAAAGAAAGACAAACAAGAAAAGGGAAAAAAACTGGAACATATCCTATAGTGTTGGATAGGAACCAGATAACGGTATGAGGTCATGATTTTCAATATATGTAGATATATAGATGTAAAGGGGTGTGTTTGTGTGTGTGTGTGTGTGTGTGTGTGTGTGTGAGCGTGCGCGCAGGTATATACATGAATGTTGCTCACAGAGAGGCCTGAGAACACAATGAACACCTGGGATATCCAGATCTTGTTTTCTAAATCATTCTCTTCTAAAAGGAACTGGGGCTTCTTATAGAAATGGCTGATCCAGAGACCAAACCAGTAAAATATGAGTCTAAAACATCTTTCTATGTCAAAAAGTAAGAAGTATTCAAAGAATAATGAGGACATGCCAAAAGGTCACAAGACTTATACTACTGAGGCAAGAAGATCTCAAGTTCAAAGCCAGCCTGGGCAACTTCACAAGACCCTGTCTCAAAATAAAAAATAAGAATGACTGGGGATAGAATAAGAAGGGGATAAGAATGGCTCAGAGGTAGAGCACTTGACTAGTATGTGCAAGACTCTGGGTTCAATTCCCAGTACCGTAAAAAATTTAATTTAAATTAAAAATAGAAATAAAGGGACATGGAAGCCATCTAGAAGAAGTTTCCACTGGCTAAATTTTGGACAATATGAACATCAGAATAAATGAAATGGCAAATTGTGACCCACTGAATAAAATCAGAATCCATGAGTTCATACTAAAATAAATGGATAAGTTTGAAAATTTTGTAATATTTATAGTACCACCCCACAGAATATGCAATGATTACAAAGATGAAAAGAATAAATAAATTTACAGTGAAGCATAGCATGATCAAAGTTAACACCGCCAGTAATGGGAAAAAATGAAAACATGCAAACTTTGCTAGAATACAAGAACCCAGATTCACCTTTGTTTTTGTTTTGTTTTGTTTTTTAAAGAGAGAGTGAGAGAGAGAGAGAATTTTAATATTTATTTATTAGTTTTCGGCGGACACAACATCTTTGTATGTGGTGCTGAGGATCGAACCCGGGCCGCACGCATGCCAGGTGAGCGCGCTACCGCTTGAGCCACATCCCCAGCCCTCACCTTTGTTATAATCCTGCCAAGGACACATAACTCAAATCTAATCACAAAGATACATAAGAGAAGCTGAAATTTTATAAAATAACTGCCTTGTAAACGACAACTGCATTGACACCTATAAATTGAAAAGTCAAGGAAAAACTTCAGAATGTTGTAGATTGAGTGAAGCAAAGTACAAACACATAGCAACAGAATGCAACCTCATTCTACCCTGGATCTTTTTGTTATCAAACAATATTAAGACAATTGGAAAACCTTGATTGAAGTCTAAGGATTAAGTAGTAGTACTTTTTTATGTTAATTTACTGATTTGAAGAGGTAAATTGTGATTACGTGGGAGAACATCATTGGATAAATACACATTAAAATACTAGAGGGTGGCAGGGAATGAGGTCAGTACCTTATTCTAAAATGATCCAGCAAAAAAGACCTTTAAA